CATATATTTTGATAAAAGAGGAGTTGAATTTACTTTGCCCAGTAACAAGGATCAAGAAATCTCCTCTCAAGGAATTGTTGAAATTAGTTCTAACACAACTTGCGACGGTAAGTTACACAATTGGAGAATCCAGAGACGTCTGGATTTAAAAGATTGTAAAAGATCCAATTTAACTAATTTATGACAACAGAATTGGCGCAGTCGGATTTCCTTTTTTGACCCGGGTGAGTACACTAGAGTAACGCAACACCTGTCTGAAAACAGTGTTAAAGTGAAAAGTTTGCGACTCAGAAAAAAGTGACTCAAAGAGCATAAATCCGAGAACAGTCCCGGTGACGTGTTCTTTTAGATTTGAACAAGTGCTCTAGGTAAATTCAAGTGAAGTGAATATTTCGCCAGTATGAATACGAGTGTAAAGGTATCGGCATTGGACATCTCGAAAGTGATGGACACGTCGGAAGAATTAAATCGTCGTTTCATTAACTTGCCCCCTAAAGAACAAGCTGAAGTGGCTAAACGCCGCCAGCGAGAGTGTGAGGAAGAAATAGCAAAGCTAGAAGCAGAATTAACTAATGCTGCAAAACCTCCATCTGCAGAGAGACGAACAGCTGTAAATACACGTTTAGCGCTTTTGAAAGCCCCAGAAGGTCCTTTAGAAACTAGTAAAGCAATAATAGCTAGTCTAGAGACCAATCTGGAAGAAATCGACATGCATTCAAAAGCGATAGATGATACACAACTTTTGTTAATGTCAAGACAGTTAAAGGAGGAAATTAAACAAAAGAAGCAGCAACTAGCTGACGCTCTGGGGATTAGACAAGCCCTATTTAATCTGCCAGCGAGAGTGTGAGGAAGAAATAGCAAAGCTAGAAGCAGAATTAACTAATGCTGCAAAACCTCCATCTGCAGAGAGACGAACAGCTGTAAATACACGTTTAGCGCTTTTGAAAGCCCCAGAAGGTCCTTTAGAAACTAGTAAGGCAATAATAGCTAGTCTAGAGACCAATCTGGAAGAAATCGATATGCATTCAAAAGCGATAGACGATACACAACTTTTGTTAATGTCAAGACAGTTAAAGGAGGAAATTAAACAAAAGAAGCAGCAACTAGCTGACGCTCATGGGGATAAGACAAGCCCTATTTAATCAAGAGTTGTCAATTCATCAAGTTACTGACCCTACGGCCAACGAATTAATGTTCTACGATGTGGAAAAATCCAAAAAGCTAAGAGGTCCTTCATTGCCGATACAACAAGCTAGTATCGCAATGAGCCAGGTTCCTCCCTTCGATGGAGAAGGGAAGGACCTTTGGAGTGAATGGTGGATAAGGTTTAGTATCGCGATGAGCCAGGTTCCTCCCTTCGATGGAGAAGGGAAGGACCTTTGGAGTGAATGGTGGATAAGGTTTCAAGGAGCCTTGTATGATGGAGTATACACCGATGAAGGTATTCGTTCTAATTTGATGAATAAATTAAAAGGTCAAGCATTCGAATACATTACATCTATTGATGGCTTAGAAACTGCCAACTACAGAATAATAGTAAAAACCCTGCAGGATAGATACGGAAAAGTTGTTCCCCAGAAACGAATGAGAGATCTTTTTAGGATGTCTCAGGGAGCAACCGAATCTGTAAATAATTTTGGTACTAGAGTCCGTAAGCAAGGAAAATTCATAGTTGGAGAAGCCCCTGGAAAATTAAAAGTAGTCCGAAGAGAAAATCAACCTGATGCCTTATTAGAAAATCCTTTCTTTGTTCAGGAAAAATGGGAATATCAGGCTAAGAAAAATATGTTGGATGGATTTTTGTTAACTGCCTTTATCGATGGATTAAAACCATCAATTGGCAGGAAAATAATAGCCACTCCATCTACATTCGAAGCCGCAGTGGCTCTGGCAATATCAGTAGAGGAAAGAAATTCTGATTTATTGGAAAAAGGAATAAATGACTTGACCCTAAATAATTTGTCATCGCATTACAACGAAAAATCGGCGTATACCAACGAACGAGCCCCCTCCCCATATTCGGCTGGCGCGACCGCAAGTGCTTCAAGTGACCTACGGCGTTCAACAACCTGCTACGGGTGCGGGAAATTAGGTCACTTCAGAAGTGAATGTCCGGCGATTAAAGAAAAAGACTCTCAAGTGCCGAAGCGCAAGTTGATATACTTTGCGCCCGAGAATGCGCGTCCGAGTCGCGGAATCCTCCGCAACGGCGGAATGCGTAGAGGTCGCTCTTCCTATCGTGGAAGAGGTGCTAGAGGATCCAGCAAAACTCAAGGACGAAGGATCAATTTCGTCTCTGCAAATGCTGAAGACGATGACTATGCGGAAGACGAATATCAAGAAGATTACCAGGAATACCAGGAACCAGAAGAGGAATGGTTGCCTGAAGGGTACTACGAGGAACCCTCAACATCAACGTCATACTCGGGAAACGAGTATTGACCGGAGTTTGTCTTATGTGGGAAAAAAGTGGAGTGCAAAATTCAAGGGTCCATATACTGTATTAGAAGTAATAAATCAAGCAGTAATTCGGATTCGAGACGATGCCCATCCCGAATGGACTGATGTTGTCCATACAAGTTATGTCCGACCTTACAACATTCGACCCATCTCTCCTGCACCGTCCCCTCAAAATTCGGAGGACGAAAACAAAGTTGATATTGTGGATGTTAACGATGATTTCTCTTTAATTGAGCAGAAACTGTTTCCAGCTCCAAAACCTCCTAGCAAACCAACCGTTACCCCAGAAGCAGATAAGGATGAAGAAACAGATGCTGAAGAAGAAGTGGAAGAGGCAGAAACCACCAGCCAAGTTCTGGATAAATCTGATGATTACATCGTCAACCCAAGTCAAGCTGACCTCCTTTTTCCAGCAACCCCTCCTAGTCAACATTCGACCCATCTCTCCTGCACCGTCCCCTCAAAATTCAGAGGACGAAAACGAAGTTGATATTGTGGATGTTAACGATGACTTTTCTTTAATTGAGCAGAAACTGTTTCCAGCTCCAAAACCTCCTAGCAAACCAACCGTTACCCCAGAAGCAGATAAGGATGAAGAAACAGATGCTGAAGAAGAAGTGGAAGAGGCAGAAACCACCAGCCAAGTCTTGGATAAATCTGATGATTACATCGTCAATCCAAGTCAAGCTGACCTTCTTTTTCCAGCAACCCCTCCTAGAACTGAAGTATTTAAATCAGTACCTAGTAGTGCTACTTCTGGAAAGTCATCTGTTTATCACTCCCCATTTGATCCTGACAAAACGATAATCGAACAGCAGGGATCTCCTTCGTTGCGAGAAAGACTAACCGAGTTGTTTTCTGATGTAACTGATGAAATAGGAAAGTTTCTTTCTCCTGGCGCAACAGCAGCTGAGGAAACCATCATGGCCGCTGATGAGGAAACTCTCCCCACGATGTCAGAAACCATGATGACGCAACCTGGCGCGGCAAGCACGCCGCGACAGTCAAGGCTGCCTGAAGCGAGGCGTGACCCTTTGGAGGCCACAAAGGACATGATTACGAAAAGGAAAAAGAAGAAAGAAACCGAGCCCATCGTCAAGGTAAAACGTTTGCAACCGCAGTCGAGATTGCTGTCTGGTCTGGACTTGGATAAGATACTTCCTTTCCGAACCAGACAAGAAGGAAAGAGAACTCCCTCCCCAAAAAGGAGGAAGTCAAGCAGTTCTACCTAACAAGTTTCAACATCGGTATGACCAGTTCTTGGCCAACCCCGGTGTTGAGCAATGCATTTTTCACTTAAAATTATCTTCGTGATATTTTTAGTGTTCCCCGCAACCCATTCGCTGTTAATTGAAGAAATTCCTAACGATAAGGGGATCGATTCAAACAGTAACAGATTAAATAAATTATCTCCGATTAGAACTTTTCCCGGAGATGTAGGAGTAACAGTAGAAGAATTATATTCTATATGCGTCCCAAATAATTTCTGGACTTTAGAGTCTACGTTAGATGTGGGAAGCTTAATAGAAAGGATAGACCAAGTTCAAACGTCTGCCCGAAAATACTTCAAAGAATTAAGAATAGCATTAAAAGAAACCAATGCTACTCTTAGTAAATTAATGAATATTTCCATGGACGTGATAAATCATAAGGCCCATTATTTAGAAGTGGTCACTGAAAGTCTGGAAGCAAAAGTTAGAAACGCAAGTATGGTGCTTCCTAGTGATATGGCTCATTTAAATATACTACCCATACTTAGGAGAAACATTGTGCAGGTACAAGATATTCAAATAAAAAATAAACGGGTTAACATTTACCCGACTGATTTCCTTAGGATTAATTTAGGACAAGAAGACTTATTTACCAGCATCGTAAGTCTTATAGAAGATTTGCGAACCGCAAATAACGATACTGTAGGATTCTGGATGAGATTGATAACTTTAGGATCTGAATTCAGCCACATTCACCTATAACTTAGAAAAGAATATGTACTATAGCTCCGGTAGTACTTTATAGTTAAAGGGTGAATAGAAATATTGATACTATGTCACGTACGACGATATCGATGATATAATTGATGTCTTGTATCTCCCTCTTTAATTGGATCTTCTGCCGCAGAAATGATGGCAATCATCCAATCAAACCCTTTAACAACTAGTAATTTTATTGGATGTTCTGCACCATCCGAACAAAAGTTAGGTCCTTGCAAAATACATATAATTACAATTGTTCCAATAATAAGACCTGCAGAAAAATATGGTTTATTCCGTGTACATGTCATGCCTATCGCAAAAGAAACGTATCTAGGTACTCCAAAATGGTATCAAGCTAGAATCCCGCATGCTTACATGTTACAACAAGGAACAAATTTGTATGGAATAAATAATAATGAATTACCCAGTTGTCTTAGAAGTATGGGATACACTGGATGCCGCATATGCAGATGGGAACACACGCCTACTGTAAAAGCAGTAAACTGTCTACAAAACGTCCAAAGAGGATCAAACGAAGAAGAGATCAAAAACTCTTGTGAAATGATGGAGATAGAAGCTCCAAAGGACAAAGTCGTACAACTCGATCAAGACGAGTTTGCCTATGTAGATGCTGACAAGGGAAGAGTCACACAATATTGTGCTGGCTCTGATGACGACAAGATACCAGCTACAGAAAATTCGTATGTATTACCCTACTCAGGTATACTTCAATTTAAACCAAATTGTCGTTATACTATGGTCAATGGACCATTTAAAACACTTATACCTAAACTAGATCGTGTTGAAATAAATGCAGTGGAAGAAGTATTACCCCCAGACGTTAAAAGAAAAATAAATGAAGATATCAGTGATCTCCAGATACATTTTAGAGATCACGGATATATTTACTTAATTGTTTCAATTACTCTTCTTGTAATTATCCTTTCATGTATTATGTATCTATGTTATGCAAAAATTAGATACATTATACGCAGAAGAAGACAAAGGGACATGAGTGCCCTGGAGAATACTACAATAGAATTGCTACCCTCAAGAATGGCCCCTGATGTGCCTCAATATCCCCGTTTACAACTGAATCCCAGAACCGGGATTATGACAATAAAATAAAAAAAAATTTTGAACAAAGCAACGCAATTTTATTTTGGCATGAAATTTAACAACGAATGCCACAAAAATAAAGCCAACAACGAAAAAATTGCACTAATTGACGAGTCCTTTTGACGAAGCGGTTTGATTTCCGGTGGAGACAATCCGTGCTAACCCATTGAATGTCCTAACACGTTGATTCTTCTGTGTTTGGTTCTTGAGCTGTTGTAGATAATGGAACCTCTTGCAGCTCTTGATATTCTGTAAATATAGAATGCATTAGAATATGGCAAAGAAAAATTAAAATTCCTGAAACTCACTCAAAAGTTTAATTCGCAAAGGACGGACAGAAGCAAAAGTTCAACTTCTCTCAGCCATTTCTAAAGCCTCACCAAACAAAACTGGTTGAACACCAGCAGCAATTATCTCCGAGTCATCAAAAAATGGATTAACCATCCTTACAGCATCTTCAACAGAAGTGGCCAACGCTCTAGTCTGATCAACAAACAAGATATCATTGAAAAGAAATTCTTCCAAAAGGATTCAATAGAACTTACAGGTTTGTATTTCATGTAGACCAGAATCGAAAGGATGATGAGAAGCAAAAAGGCAAAAATGCTCATGCCAATCAATAAATAGAAAAGCCAGGAATGTTTTTGTACCCCAAAAGAATTACTGGATTGTCCTAGCTTTTCCATAGGCAAACGCATTTCTACCTCCAACGGAATCTCATCAACACGACCAGGAATGAAAATGTTTTTGGACGGAACTGTTGTCCACTCAGAAGATGAAGAAATTGAAGTCTCCGTACTAAACTCCAAAACGACCGAAGATTCGATTGTTGTGAAGTCCGGTGCAAAGGTTGTGGTTACAGATTCTGAATTGAAAAGAATTTTTCTAGCTCTGGACAATAAGACAAGTTAAAAGTACTGATAACTTACTCTTTGTGGACATCCTCCTTTATTGTCATGATCATGAACATGACCATTGGCAGACAAAGAGGTCCGGGACTGTTTCGGTGTCCCCTAACTACTGTCTAAACTCTATAAGACAGTAACAAGGAGACGTGGTTCAAACTCAAGTCAAAGTTACTTTCTGAAATCCAAAATACTGACATTTACTGTTCCTACTTTTCAGAAGAAAAACAACCAACCTTCAGGTGACGAATGGCGACGCATTTCAAGTCCAAAACACGACCAACGAATAGTAGTCAAAGTTACTTTCTGAAATCCAAAATACTGACATTTACTGTTCCTACTTTTCAGAAGAAAAACAACCAACCTTCAGGTGACGAATGGCGACGCATTTCAAGTCCAAAACACGACCAACGAACATAACCTCGTCGTCGTAATACGAAGAATGCCGTGCCTCACAGACATCTTTGCAGTAATACTTCTGGCCCACGTTTACGCAATTATCATCAAATGCGAAGACCGCGCAGGCCAAAAGCAAAAATCTCGCAAACCGGAACATTTTTGATTGACTTTGATGCGCTGATTGGTGAACTTTTATTTTTATTTACTTTTCGCGAAAATATTAATAACAATCAGACTAAATCGGGAATTTGTTTGGAAGTGTTGTCTGAAAAGGATAAGGGAATGTAAAGTTCAATAATTGACAATTCTCAATAGGACATGAAAAGTCCTTGTCAAAATATTGAAGTCACCAGAAAAAATTGCAGAACCGACCGATTGGTTCTATGAAAGGAACTGAACTGTACTCTACGAGGCAGGTTCCTACATATGGATAATTCTTCGACTGTTTACAGTCAAGTAGATCTGTATGAATTTAATCAGAGTATTGTTAGACTAAGACACAAAAACACAGCATACACCACCCTGGCGCAAAAAGGAGTACCAACTGCACCAGAATTTGTTATCCTATTTCCAATTATTATTACTTTAGAAGAATAAGTAAAATAAATAAATGGGACCGTTATGAGTGACTTGTCATCGGTAACTTTATTGCGTTCCCTTTTCATTCCCTTTCACCTAGCAGACGACGCTCCGAAAAAAGTCACGGCGTCTGTCTCACGGTTCCGCCGCGTGATCTCCCGCGAGTCATGCGCCACAAGGTTACTCAACCTCACCTGAAATAAGGTCAGATCCGGGTCTGACCATTCTTGCCTGGCTTTACTTGACCGAATCTATATAGCCGCCTGTTCTCTGTTGATCGCGCGCTCATTGCTGTCCGAAGCTTGTTGCGTATAGTATCTCTACTGTTGAATACGAAATAAAGCTCATTTACCCATTTTGATAAAAGAGGAGTTGAATTTACTTTACCCGGTAACAAGGATCAAGAAATCTCCTCTCAAGGAATTGACTAATTTAGTTTAGAACATAACTTGCGACGGTAAGTTATACAATTGGAAGATCCAGAGACATCCGGATTTGGAAGATTGTAAAAGACCAAAAATAAACTAATTTACGACAACACTAGATTTTTGTGAGAATGAAACATTGTTGAAGCTCAGAAGGTTAAAGATTATAACTTGAAGATTAAAGTCAGCTTTAAAGAAAATTACATGCAGTATGTATCTGAATACTCTTTCAGAGTTTGAATTTTGTGGTTTAAAGATTACTGCCTTGTTATCAGTAGAAATTAATCCTATAAATGCCTGATAGTTCTGTGCTACAAATCCACATTGTAAGAGAGTGTCAACAATAACTCTCTCCAAAGAATGAATAAAAGAATGAGAGTGAGATAATTTCAAGAAAGGAAGAGGATTATTAATCAAGGAAAAAAAATGTATAGGTCTATATATATATTCTTATTTATATATGTAGGTCTTATATATATATATATATATGGTTCTGCACAGTTAGGGTACATGCATAACAGCAGGTTATTTTTTAACCTAACGGTGCTGAATCCATGGTGCATTTATGCCTGCTCGTATGCATGTACCCTAACTGTGCAGAACCCACAGTGTTTGTAACCCTTTCGGTAGACATGTACGCCTCTGTTGAACTTGTCCTTGTTCTTGATGGTACTGGCATGTATACGCACGGATACCTTTTCCCCTTCCTGGTTTACCCCTTCGTTTTCCTGCTGCTAAACCCCCAGCCAATTCCTCTGAAATCAGAAATTTAGCATCAGGAGTTCATTGAAGTAACTTGGTTACATTTCTGTTTACAGAATCCTTGTGTCTTGCTCTCTGGTTTGTGCTCGTTGTGTTGAGCACAAAGTGCAAATAAAACTCTTATTTTTGTCTTGGAAGTACGTTTTGGAGTAATTTCTATTCCTACTTACTCAAATTAGGAGATTCTCAAATCTAAAGTAATCAGAAAAAGGATAACAGCCTCCTTGACATCTGAATCAAATATGCTTGAAGAAAAACGTGGCTCATCTATTCTCTGTATGAAGATGAAAGAAGTTTCTCTATGAAGGTTGTGACAGATTCGCAAAGCTTACGATTCAACATTAGCCTTCTGAGATGAATAATTTTTCTTTTTTTTTCAAAGCATGGGAAGGACTTTTTGATTTTTTACCGTGAGTGGTTGACAGAATGGGGGAGAGGTGAAAAATGTTCCAAGTAGAAAGATTCCAACCTGTCGCAATCACATGTACAGTAGCATACTGTACTCATTTGAAAATGATGTTAGACAGCTTTTTCGGTATGCATGAACGTCTCCCCCCACCATAAAATGTGAGATATTCGGGTGGAAATTTTTTGTTTTCCTCTGCTGTATTTTATTCTTTGCCAGAAGCAAGCGAACCTTCGAAAGGAACGCGTGCTTACCAAGAATCTTCATCCTTATTGGAAACGTCGCTGGGAATTGTTTACGACTTTCTCCAAATGATGCCAAGTTATCACTAAAAATTACAAAAAATTGTGTAAAATTGATGAATGCGACGAGGTCAAATAAATTTTGTTCTTCCATAATAGAATCTCCCTGGATGATCTGCGAGTTTCAACTCAACCTTCTCCATGGAATATTTAATTCAAATACTGTATGTGGGTACTGGTCATGCTCAGAAAATTTAAACCATTAGACTCAACTACAGTAATTTCAATGATCAATTTTTGCGTTTCAATATGCCCCTAATTAACAAAAATATATGCTCAATTTTATGTTCGCTTGTCATCCTTAAGGATTTTTTTCAATGCCTTGCTCGTAGGAATGGGGAGATAGGCTGTCGCTTTTCACATATATGTTCGGTAGCTTGAGTATTTAAAAAAAAGATTTTGCATCATAGTGAGCATAACTTTGATCACAGTTGAGACGAATCCCATGAATCTTTGAAAATTTGAAGGGTAGGTAACGAGGAATACAGTTTGATTCGAATCTTCAAAAAAAAAAACTGAAACTCTGCAATTATCCTTGCTGGTGCTGGTTTTGATATCAAAATTATCGCTATAACTGAAGAAATGGAATCGCGGGCATGATTTAGTTTGAGACACGTATATATTTTTAAAATTAAGATTTAAGTGAATTCAACAACGCTAAGGGAAGTTTTTTTGTCGAAAACTTTAGTACCTAATACTGCTCGAAATTCAGGTTGGTTCTATAATTCGAAAGCATAGCGCACGGAAATAGTTCATATTGATGTTTGAAAAATTTGTGATAATCATTTCACTTTTTTCACTCCACTTTTTTTCGCTATTTTTGATCTGATGCGGTTCTGTTCTGAAAAACATTTCTGATGGCGTGAAGAAGTCCCTATGACACGTCGTTAGGTGTGATTTTTGCGCATATAGATAAAAATAGGTCCAGGGAATATAGATTGCGCATATAGATAAAAATAGGTTCAGGGAAGAAATGATTTTATCATTCTGAAGCGCAGGATTTCAAAGAGATCCAATTTTAATCTGTCCGGAGTGTCATGGTGGAATATGAAATTTTCCTCATGAAAGTTCTTTCGTGGAATGACGATACCGCACTAAAAATATTCTCCGTATCGAATTTAGAAGTCAGAGGTTACGCATTTTCTCTTTTAGCATAGAACGTACGAATATCGTGGACCACGCTCATAACGGAAGTGCCGGCGTGGGCGCAGAAATACCCCTTCCATGTTCTGTGCAAAATAATTGGCCCTTGCTGGATTCGTGACGTGTGAAGTTCTGTCCGAGGAGTTTTTCTGAAGCGTCAGTACCGTTTTGAAGGGCACATTTATTTGCGTCTCGAAGTATTATCAAGAAATAAATATTTTTACTAGTCGTCCCTATGATAGCTGAGGCAAGCATTGGCTCAACATTTTTTAGTGTGTGTGCACACCGCCGTAGGAAGAAAAAAGGCGGATTTGATCCATGTTTTCTGCAAGTAGAATTGCAGTACCAATTCCAACGCCAAGGTGTAGGACGCGGTTTTGTTTTTTGTATTTTTGCAGAACATGATACCGATGTTGCTCAAGTTTTTCCCGGCTGGAGCTTCGACGCGAACTTTGGCACATTATGGGCAAACTTGCTCTTCGAAGCGATTCCGACAATTCGATTACGGTGACCCGAAAGAAAATGCGCTGATATACGGAAGTGAAGAACCTCCTGAATATGACCTGAAACGCGTTCAGACATCCGTAGCACTTTTTCACGGTGGACTTGATCTTTTCAGTCCGAAAGAGGTTGTGTATATACATTCATATCGATACATAATCAGCTGTTCAAGTTTTGGTTCTGTTTTATTCTGCGTGATTATAGGACGTAGACTGGTTGAAAAGGCGATTGCCAAAAGTGGTGAATGCAGAGTTTTTGCCGAATTTCGGACACTTGGATTTCCACTGGGGACTGAAAGTTCGTGGCTTGCTTTTTCCGAGGATTCTGGAAATGATCTCAAAATTTCGCCATGGTTGAAAATGATTTTGTAAAAATGTTGCTTTCGTGCAAGAAAACCGTACCTGGAAGATCCTCTTTTCGACGGTCTCTCTAGAAATCTGAGAGAGTATAAAAGCATACCAATTCTTCTTGCAAGTCATTTATTTTTCACCAAGACCGTTTCAACAATTTTTACTGATACTTTTTTTTTCTTCGTAGGAATCCTTATGCCTTTTGATGCATATATTCACGGTTTTTCTTACAGATGTATTTCATCCTGGAATTCTGGGTATGGGACTTCTGGAAACTCCTGGAAGCGCGTTTTCTAGAAATGATTGAATCGGTACTTATTGTGCTCAGCTGATGACCTATGAATAAGGTTTGTTACAATCTTTACTTTTTTGAGAAAGAAAAAATGTATCTGCAATGCGCTGGAAACCGATGTTCTGTTGCGACGAAGATCAAGTATACATTATTTTTCAGGATCTGTAACATTTTCTGGTGTATCCTTTTTTTCAATTATGCGTGTGACGGAGCACTGTTGTCTGAAGCACTTTAAGGCAAATGGTGCGAATGGAAGAACAAAATTCATCAACATGCTGGCTTGGGACCGAAATCTCGAAATACTTCTATGGTTGAAATTTTTTTGCTGTTGGTGTTATTGTAGTGAGCATCTAATTATGTGTAGTAGCAACAATATGCTTGAAAATTGTGATGTGTCATTTTCACGTGTTTACGCGTGATGGTTCATGACTTCGTTCAAATCTTCTTGTCAATGGGCATAACCTTATTTGCTGAACTTAAGTTGTCAAATGAAGCATTTTTTGTTTTGTTTCATCCCTATCGATCACATTTTTTGATGATGACTTCTGGTTATTACTGTTAATCATTCAAACAGCGTTCCAAAAAAATAACGTTAGAATTTCAGAATTAGGTAAATTTTGAGAATGATCGCACGAACGGCATTCATTACCACGTTTTTATGAACTCACTTTCTTGTCTGTCTGTTTGTNTATTTTTTAAAAAGAATAAAATAATTCTAGTAGATTAAAAAATTAATCTAAAAAACCACGTTTTCAAAAAGCAAAAAATAACCTTAAACGTGGTGCGCATGGAGATTGTTGAGAAGAAGTGAAATACAAATGAAATAGACGTGCACCACGTTTAAGGTTATTTTTTGCTTTTTGAAAACGTGGTTTTTTAGATTAATTTTTTAATCTACTATAATTATTTTTCTGATGATGATCATGCACTTCTTTCGATTTCCATGGAAATTGAATAAATTCGCAGGATCATCTGAACCATTGCAGCCATACGATTACAATTTTTCTCGAGGTTCTCGATCATTTACAGTGATGAACCAACATTCGGGCGATTTAATTATTAGAGAAACTTCAAACTCAAAAAATATTTCCCGACATCCGGACAATGCCTCAATAGATGCGGATATTTTTTAAACATTTCCAAAAAGAAAAAAAAATGTTTGATTCAAGATCTTGGCGTAATATTTCATTGAGTTTAGTTTCTGACTGCAGAGAGATTGCTGAGAAAACGTTCGTTGATCGAACAACAATGGAATGATGATGAATTTTCCTGTCGGTCGCTTTGCTCGCGGGAAGTTTCCGGAGCAAAGAATAATTCTTCAAATACAGTAATTCTTTGTTATTTTGTATGAATTATACGCCAGGAGAAAATTTATCCAGTCGATAACGTCGAACATCGCATCGAGGTTCTGAAAGCATCCAGTAGCTGAAGTGAATTGTTAATTTCCGCAAGAAAATATGGATAAGGATATCGCTCTATAAAAAATTGAGGCAGTGCAAATATCGTATACAGTATACTGTATATAAGCATATAGAGGTTATTTCGTGATTTTATTTTGCTGCTGATACAATCAACATCTGCCGTCGGTGAATGATTCGTCTTGATAAACACAAAACGGGATTGATTCAATCACAAGCCCTGTTCAAAAGTGAATGCTATTTTCTTAATTTTTAAAATCAATTTGCTCGCATATAACCAATCATTCGCACGACTTGACGCAATCACCTGCATTTTCAGCTTATTGCTTTTCAAGAAATCTAACTTGAGTGACATAATTTGCACGAAATTGATAAGGCCATGAATAAGTAATTGATCACGAATGAAACGCATTCAATGCAACCTGAAGAAACAACTAATACTGTATGCTTCAGCTTTTCAGTCCGGTACTGTATATATAGCCCATAAAAATGTCCACTCCCTCTTTCGCGTTTGAGTTCAAAGTGGCTAACTCAAAGTGCGTTTCCTTGTCACCACGTTCAGTATTTTCGTCGCATGTTATTACTATGAACTGAATGAGATGAATCCAAGTTTGAACGATGCTAATTCATGCCGTTTATTCGCAACCTGGTCTCTTTGGCAACCCATTCATTTCTGCCAAGTGCCAACACCTGTGATGCGTGGAAATGCTCTTTGCTGAGTAAATGCATTCCTCGGCAACAATAAGAGCTCCGTAGCATATATACGTGGGTGGGCCCACAATAATAAAGGCGACCGAACTTCATTATTATGATGAAGACTCTGATGGAGATGACCCCAACCTGTTGGGCCTTAATTCCGCACGGCGTCAAGTACACTTCAGAAGCTGGCCGGGAGAATGTAATCCTCCGGACTTCCGAGTAGGTCCTTTGATCCCTCCAAGAGCCCAGGATCTTCTAATGAGATTCCCACGGCGGAAGATCAAGCGACGAGACGTGTGGTCGGTATACAAATGCAAAACCTGCCGCATTATTGCCAACCCTTTCTCCCCCCTGGAAACTGGGAAGTTAATTCGGCGCTGTTTCGTCATGCGACCTGCCGCGAAACAAAATTTTCATCTAGGCAATCCAAACTTTGAATACGACGAGTCTAAATATAGATCAAATATAGGTCTTAATATAGAGTCGGAATATAGATCAAACCGGCATACGATTGTGCTGAAAAAATAACTTTTCTTAGGAATACTACATTCCTTAACCCTCGGAAAAGTCAGCCCTGTTTGAGAATATTTTTCTGAAATTTTCTGCAGAAGTCACCCCAAAGAAGATTTAGGGGCCCATCTGGCAGATTTTTTTTAGGTTCACCACATGCTCTATCTTCGGAATTTTTCGAATTAACATGGCATCAAACCCAATACGGTTGCCGACATTCATTCGATTATGAACTCTACCATTGTCATCAACAGCAGCCTTCACATCCCCCTTTCGAGATAAGAATTTGGTGCCTTTGAAAGTGTGAATAAGGTGGCTGTTGATGTGAATTTCAGAATAACTTCGGATGTTTCGGAGACAACTCTTGGAATTAAAGCCATGTCGTTTTCAAGAATTCTCATGGAGAAGTTGAGCTACACCAAAAAAACCTGCGAAACAGGTGTCTCAAATCTCCAGAGAAAAGCAGAAGCAGGAAGCTATGCTGGGTGACACAGAAATTGCACAGAAATTCAAGAAAATGTGGCAAACAGCAGGGATGCTTTGTTATATAGTGTCAAAAATATTTTATCTGGACAATAGTTGTTTACAGCTAAGTCACATGCGGTTTCATTTCGTATAGACCCCTTGTATAATATACAGAAATAAGAAAATTAAATTTTGAGGCCAAATATTCTACCTGTGAACGGATCCATAAATGAATAAGAAACGGAAGGAGAGCGCATAAATGAAATAACGTGGAAATTCCGCAGACTCTCTGCAAGAAACTTGTCTTTATTGTCGAAAAGGAACCGAAGCCACGGATATCTCGTTGATTTCTGCGAGGATCGAGCACCGCTTTATCTTCTAAATATCCAGCGAGCATCTGAAATTCTTGCACCAAACGTCGACAAACATTCCTTCTTCTTTTTCCCCACATATTTCTCCCCCCAAAAAGCACATAATCGGAACGAAAAATATATCGCGCGGAAAGAACGTACGGGGTTCAACCAACAATAACAATATTCGCCAACACCTTTCTTTTGTTTCGCTGTTTTTGTTTTTGCACCGGTACGTCGGGGAAATTACGTGTGCGTGCACCTGCATATGAATGGAAAACGCATTTCTTGCTGGCGGAAAAGCCTCGCTCATGCACAGGCAGGGCAATCCAGGGAATTTCTTCCTTCCTTTCCTTTTTTCTTGGCTGTGTTTTCTCATTGAAAGACGAAATGGTAAAGGTGAAGATGACCGCGAATTTCGGGGAAAATTCGAGGCTACGTGAGGTTTTTCAAGTGTCTTTCCTTCTTCTGAAAAAAAAAACACAAATAAACCTAGCAAATCCTCCGCGGAAGGGGCTCAGCTCGGCGGAAAATTTCTGGAAGAGATAATTTATTTGTGCCGACAGAGTGTTGAACCGACTATCGGAAGTATTATTTGACTGAAGGTGACTTTGTAAATGTCACAGTATACGAGAGTCATCGACCTCGCAGAAACTGTGGCTTTTCGTGAAATAAGAATAAAATTGCATTTATATAGTTATTCTAATGGTCGCGGCGCAAAGTATTATAGTTTATTCACTTTACCACTGTTGCACTACTTCTAGATACAGTTTATTTGCTAATCAAGGCATCAATCACTTTTAAGGGTGGTCAGTTGAAACATTTGAGGATGACTCATGAAAAAGGCAAATCCCGAAGTTCTGAAAAAAAAAATATATTGCTGCCAGAGTCACATCATTTCTAAGCCGTTACTAACGCATTATGAAAAGGTTATTTTGATTGATGAAATACAGAGGACATTCAAACGCATGATAATAAGGTGTTACTCTTGGCAACTGTTAATTTATTGGGGGAAAAATCAATCCTGATGAGAGAAAAAAAAATTCGTTATAAGAAAAAAAAGTCCTAAACCCGGTAAAAATGTTATTGCAAATGGATTTTGTTTTCAAAATAGCCTGTCAAAAGGATTAAAATATCTGCGAGATGTCTCCGATTGAAAAAACAGAAAGGTGACAGATTTTACTCCTTGGGTACAATAGCTAGATATACTTTAAGCATCCCAGGATTATTTAGATTTTTTCTAGGAAAAAAACAGAATTTAATTTCCTATTACACTCAACTTTCATACCATATTAGCTTTTTTGATGAACTAACAACGCTTTTTAACTGATGCCAACCCCAGTAAACTGCAGCAAACCTCGCAAAATGGTGTAGGTTTATGGAGGTTTGACCGTTTAACATAATTTTTCTCTTCGGCTTTCACCAAACGATCATCTGAAAGGAACATAGCTGCATCAACCCAGTAAAGGTTCAAACGCAGTGCTCTTGTCTAGTGTGTTCGCAGTCCATATTCTAATTCCGATCTTACGCTCTCCTTAATCCCTTCCGATCACAAGCTTTTCTACGCCGACGACTACTTGGAGATAGGCTGAGTGTCATCAAAAAGCAGGCATCAGCTAGATGATGAACATCTTACCGAAGTGTTCATTTCCGCTTCAAGATGCTAGACGATTCATTAGCGTGGGACGATGTGACGGATGTGACGAGTTATATAGAACACGACCAGTGGGAATTGCTAGATAGAAAAAAAAACAAGGCCGGTTCTTCTCATTGTGTTTCGCGGAAAACGGCTATAAACGGATATTTCTCGCTATATCAAAACGAGTCTTCTGGCACCTCGAGGCTGAAATTGCCGACTTTTTCGAGCTAAAAACGAAGAATGGGATGCGGATTTCCGGAGAAGAGTTATTTCTAGCGTCGTATAATGCGCGAAACAGTCTTGGGTACAGGTTTTTTAGGACTTTGCCTCACTTCAAGAAGAAATTCATCCAGAGAATTCGGTGCCTAGGTCACCTTCTTATACCCCACTCGCAGGCCATTTTTGCGAAACATCACTCCAAAAAAAAAAAAATCGGTGGGCTCATCTGGTTATGATTCATTTGTTCTCGGCAGAACCTGGATCATTTCGGGAAAACTATACCCTCGTGATTATTTTTAGGAGCATTAACGCCTTTTTTGAAAGATGCCTTGGAATTTATCAAGCCTAATTTACAACCATTTCATTGACATCCGAGGTGCATGATTTAAAAGAGTGAGATGAGTCTGTGTACTGTACGGATGAGTGGGGCAAAAGGAAGCATTGTGTCTGAACTGAAGTGACTATACTAAAGCTATGCTGTACTCGGAATTCCTAGAATTGTCTAAATCGGATTCATTCATATCCGTATACGTTAGAAGGCGAAGGCAGATCACGACAAAATTTATTTGAAGAACTTTCCCGAGTGTGCCTCAACCATTCTGCAACAGCAAAAAATCAACGGATTTCAGAAAAGCGGTACTTGAATCCTTCTGCTGCTCGCTGATCCCGTCACTGGTCCAGCGAAAAAAAGGGGGGAAAAATTAAAACCACGAGGAAAAGCATCGGGCATGAAGTTTGAATTGGTCGGTAACTTATACGGATTGCCACGGTTTTTCTCTCTATCGCGTTTTTATTTCTTATATTCATATTTATTTTGTTCGAAGTGAGAGTGTACGGACATCCTGTTACAGAACTTGCAGTCGTCTTCGGAAGAGGTAAACCTGCAACAGAAAGTGAAGGAAATGCTCGTCAATCACAGTCTTTCGTTGGTATAATATCTCTGAATTATACGCGGAACCGACAGGTTCGGTCGAAAGGAGTGCATTAGCACTGCGGAATAAGGAACCGACATGCTCAGTCGAGCGGTTTGGAAGGAAGATCTTCTTCATTTTTACTTTTTGAAAAATATCTACGAGGGGTATAACGAATATTTTCAGAATACTGTATATATATTAAAACGGCACACGAT